GAATCTCCTGGTTTTAAAAGTGAAAAAAGAAATATACATGTAAAATGCTCATATTATCCATGTTGATGGAAAATAGTAATACAAGTTCCTTTTCTCCTAAATTCAAAAGTAATTGTTTAGTCCCTCAAGTTTGAAAAATTATTCTTAAGCCCCTCAAAGTAGGAAATAATTTTTTAATTCTTTTATAGTTGATATTTTATTCTTAATTTGAATATAGCTTATTTTATTCCTATAATGTGACATAATTTTATTGACCTAACTACAATTTCTTTTTTCTAGTTTTAAAAATAAAGTTATGACCATATTATACTTTCAAATATATATTAGCAAATGATGCTCTAAACTATATTTATTGTGGCAGTTTTTTAATTGCAAAATTCATAAAAGCAAGTCAATATCATGTTTTTACATTTTTGTCACAAGTCAAACCAAATCACAAAATAAAACATAAGATAAAATCTTAACTTTTGTGACCAAGAGACGAAGATAAAGTGAATGGGTGAAGATAAAATTTGTTGTGTTTTATTTTGTTGTTAATGAATTTGTTAGATTTTTAAAACTACCGCAATGTTTTTAAATATTACTCACTATTCTAAGTTTAAGAATACTTTTAAAACTACAAAAAAAAATATTATTAATCAAGTCAGTATATATTTTAACAACGAGAGAACTGGAATACACTGTTTTCAAATTAAGGGGATTAAAAATTTATTTCTATATTTGGGGATTGATTTTTTATTTTTTAATTTAACTGAATAGAAATTACTTTTTACATTTAACAGACTAAAAATTATTTTGAATTTAAGAAACTAAAAAGAAAATCTGAGAACTTAAATAAACTCGATCCAAAATTAACGAAATAAAATTATTCAACAACGTTGGCTTGTTATTAAACTTCTCCATATATTTGCTAACATGCCATTCATAAGTACGGCAGTTTTTTAACACTTTTAGTTTAAGCACAGAGGACAAATTTTTATTTTTGATCCTTATATTTGTTAGTCAATTTCAAATAGGTCATCTTTTTTTTTTCGGTCTCAAATTGAGTTCATAAACTTGTAAATTATCTCAATTGGGTCTAAATATTTGATTGAGTCAATTAAGCTCTCAAACGACCTTAAAATTGGCTGACATGGTACACATATATATGTCTTATATTACGTGAAATTTGTTATTTAATTTATTATTAAGTATTTCTAAGTGTTATATCACGTGTTGTTATGTTATATTATTTAATTATCCAAAATTAAGAATTTATTCGGATTAGAAGATTTTTAATGAAATAGGGTTAGAGGGCCGTCCTGACTGGAAAGAGCCCTCGGCCAGCGACATTAATGATTGTTGAAGCCATCGATCTGGTCGCCGAAGCGGGTGGGAAACTTGGATGCGTCGAAGCGATCAATGGTGATGATGACACTCATTACGGCAAGGATGATAAGGAGATTACTAAGGTTAAAATCAAACAAATCGAACCACAACAACAAGGAGATTTCACTTTCACTTCAAGAACCAAATGGAAAATCTTCACACAAAAATCGACCGCAAAGAAAGAGAGAACATGGACATTGAGGCTATAACACATGGACTTATGTTCCTCATAATTCACTTGAAGGATTTAAACATCAGGATTCATCTCTGTCCGTTGACATATCTTAGGATTAAAAGATTTACAGCCACCACAGCCACGAGAGAAGAAATCAACCACCACCAGCTTGTCCTCCGCGTTTAACAGTGACTCTACAAGGTCTTGGGCAGAAGTCACCTCTTTCATGTTGGGTTGAAGCCCTTTTTCCATCCATTTCTGAACATTCCCTATTCTAAGGGTCATCTGAGCACCAGTTGAAGCTCTCAACCGCGAACTGACCCTGTTGGGTATTCCTCTATTTACATGAAAGTGAAGCTTTTTACCCTGAAACTCAGAAGAGGACCAAGATCTACGAATCTGAGACTTTAACTTGAGAGAAGGGTACCCTCCGACGCCAGAAATGAATCCATAGAATCAAAATTTCGTCCAAAGGTTCGGAACCAGAGCAATAAGATCGTTATCAAACTAATCCGAATCCAATGAACCAAACCCTCCAAAAGCAGAAATCCGAACACGAACGCGAAGTGGAGACGAAGAAGACAAGATTAGGGTCCTTCTGGCGCTGTAGGGCAGAGATCTTGGGCTCCGCCATAGCGGAGACGAAGAAGACACATTTGGAAGCAGTGTCCCTTCTGTTGGCGGCATTGTTGGGAGCGCGAAGCGGGTCCAAGGGAGAAACGCGGAGGGTGAGCGAGTTTAGGGCTTGCATGACGGCGGAGAACGATGGCTGAGTGAGCTTACTGCTTCGTCTTCTCTCTCGTGTGTTCTACTGAATTTACAAATGAAATCCATAATTTCCTTTCTCTAACTCTATTTTATTAAAAAATTTCTAATTCTAAAAAATGCTTAACATTATTAATTCATTTTGTGCCGCGCCAAACAAGGTTAATTAAGTTAAAAAATTCCATGTAATATATTAGTTTTACGTCAGCACAGTAAGCGTACACTACGTCAGTCAATTTTAACGTAGTTTGTGAAAATTTAACAGAGATGACTTAATTAATTCAAATTTTCAAATATTTGGAACGAATTGAAATAATTTGTAAATTTATGAACCCAATTGAGACCGAAAAAAATACGATGACCAAATGAAGGTTTAAACCTTTATTTTATTTGAAAGATTTTTTCTTTTGAATTTGTTATGATCAAAGCTGGATTTACCTTAAATTTAGACAGTAAAATTTTAAGTCTAATATTCCTTTCTGACTAAAAGAAAAAGACGCATTAGTTTCCAGAGTTGTACAAATATTATCTTCTACTTCTTAAATCATACTTATAATTGCCAAGCCTTTTGCTTTTCATGTCATACCTATTTCTTGTGGTTGTGGTTCGAAACTTGTGTAGAAGAAGGTGATGCTATATTTCTCCACATTCTCTCATTGACCAAGAGTGTTATGAAGATAGTTATTAAACAAATGTGTAAGAGAATTTTTTTTTAATAATTCTGGACCTTGATTTAAATTGAATGTATTATTTTTAAATTTAAAGATTACATAGTCTCATTTTTCAACCATGTTTACAAATACAAAGTTCTTGTATTTTATATTTACTTATGCCCTGAATTTGCAAATTTTACCTGGAGCGTTTTTTCTTTTCTTGTTCTTGATCTTGTCTCAAGAATCTCAAGCTTGTATTTTCCTCGGAATTGAGTCTCGGCTTCATAAACCCATTGGAATTGCAGGGAAGACTTTATTCCTCTATTGAATGAAGCCTCCTTTTTGAGAACAAGAAAAACAAAACTAAAAGGATTAGAGACATGGACGATGATGCTTGCCATCATCTCCAAACTACATGGGAAGAAGTTCAGAGTTTTGGATTTAATCTGCAATGGCTGTAACCTCATGTTGAGAACAAAAGGTTGGAGGAAAATGTGATTACTCAAGATGGAAGAAAAGATTTTGAAAACAAAAATGACTGAAGCATATATATATATATATATATATATATATATATATATATATATATATATATATATAACTCTTGAAATAACAAAAGAGAGTTGGTGAAAACAAAAAGAAGGCTTTGAAGAATGTGATTTGGATGCTGGATATGGTAAACCAAATAGTTAAGATTACCTTTTTTTGTTAAATAAACATTTAGATGATCTCATATGACTTTTTTTTATGTTAGAACTTCATGAATTGCAATATATATATTGAATAGGTACTACATTGCTACAATATATTATCTCGAGTATATTGTACAGGGTTTTCGAGTATATTGTCTTAAACAGGAGTCTTTACATACAGTTTATATGTTATAGTATGGTATGTAAATTTATATGTTCTAGTTTGAAAAAAAGTGTTAGGATATTTATCCTATTTATCGTAATTATATTGTATGAAAGTTTATCCTATTTATCATGATTATATTTTGTTAAAGTTTATCTTATTCATCATAACTATATCAGGTATAAAGTAACTTTATTTATCATTATTATATTATGTACAGAAGAAATCACAACATCTAATTGAAAAATCAACCTCTTGGGAAAGACCAATGGCTCGAATGAAAATGTTATAAACTACAACATCTAATTGGAAACCCTTCTTCGTAACCTCTTTGAACAATTTGACAGCCTTCCAAGGTTTTCCCGCTTTGCACAGAATATCCATGTAAATTATAAATGCAAGTCCTTTCTAAGACTTTTCTATCCATCTCCTCCCAGAACTCGTTGCATTTGCTCCAGCACCCCAATTTGAGCCACCCACGGAAAACCATGTTGTGGATCTTGGTGTTTCCAGTTGCCTCGACGGGAGTGTCTTTAGAGAAGACAAAGTCTTGTGCCTCGAGGACGTGCTTGTACTCGCAGAGGGCGTCTATGAGGTGGGAGAAGGAGGTGTGGTCCTTGAGGTTGAACTCTTCAAGGCGGTGGAAGGTGTCGATGGCATCTTGGACAAGATGGGCGGAAACATAGCGCTTAAATATGACACAGAATGTGGTATGGTTGGGGGAAGAGGAGGTGCGGGAGTGCATGCGGCGAATGAGGTGCCAACAGAGATCGAACTCGAAGAACTTGGCCAGGATGTCGAGCACGAGGTTGAAAGTGTCGGTGGAGTGGAGAAAGTTGCAGTGGGAGTGAGATTCCTTCACCCAATCGAAGAACTGGTTGTGGATAAGGTTTGAAATTGAAAAGGTGGAAGTAGATTTGAACGTGATGAAATCAAAATCAAACGAACGCATTTTCCTCACTGCACTTCCCTCTCAATCAAGAAAACCTCTTATTTGGACTCCAAAGTGTTGCTTTTGAAACCTCTTTTGCTAAGTTTTCCAACTCTTCCAAAGTGTTCACACTTAAAAATCTCTACCCGTTTGCACTTGGAACTGTCAAAAGGCTAACATTGTGCTCAGCGTAAAAGGCCTTCACCAGTTTCACATAATCAGGTTGGTCACAATCTTCTGCTAGAACGCAGAGCTGTGCAGCATGCTTCTCAATGATGGCTATGGGCTCACCAGGAACGGAAGCAGGTGCCTGGCTGCAACGGCTACCTCTTCACTGCATAGTAAAAGTATTTGAAACGATAAATAGAAACCAATACAGAATCTTAAACTCACCGAGGAAAAGCTACTAAAAAAAGTAGAGCAATACCCGTAATATTAGAATCATGTGAAGTTTTACAGCAGCATCTACAAGAATTATTTTCATACTAATATATAATACATTATACATTTAGTTTTCCTCACCTCCTTAATTTCTAATCAAGACTAAGAGGCAGCGCTCTCATTCAATTATTCACAAATCAAGTTAAATTGATCAGCAGTGCTTACACAAACAGTCCTTGCACATTCCTCTAACCCATTTTAATTTTTCAAAAACAACTTCCAATGATAAATGCCGCAAAAAAAAAACGCAAAAAACTGCCTGGAGCTATAGTAGACCATTGTAGATACTTCGCTTCATTCATTTTCAACACAAAGAATCATGTTAGGAGTGAATCACAGTGGAAATTATTAGAAAGTGGGTTTTTTAAGCCTAACTCAACCCCACAAAAGTGATAGTAGAAATTGCCCACTCAGAACTCGCTAGGATAGGCTCTAACCATGGCTCTGATACCATATTAGAAAGTGGGTTTTTTAAGCCTAACTCAACCCCACAAAACCGGCTTGTAGAATGAGGTTTGCACCTCACTTATATATTATAATTTGGCCTTATCTCTAGTCGATGTGGAACTTCCAACAGAAATTGGAACAAATACTCCATCCAGCTTCAACATCAAAACAAAACTCCAATTAATTAATTTAAACAACATGAACTATTTCAGTTTTAACCATCATTATGGAAAAACCGTTCTAAGGCAACAATAACATGATAGGTATTTCTACTAAATATTGAATAAAAATTAAATGGGTAGAGAGTTGCATCCACAAACAAACTAAGAAGATCGCGGACACATTGATACCCTCACATCTTTGCTTGCAAAAGACACTTTTTTGCATCCTACCAAAACAAAAACAACAATACAAATCAAATGTTATGCAAACACGTCAATACGCAAAGATATATGGCGTTTTACAACTTACAAGAAAATCCATTGGTTTTATCTTCGTCGGAAAATGAGTGAGAACGAGAGAGGAAGAGAGAGAACTTGTTGAGGAGTTAACAGAGGACCCTAGCTCTGTGCTTCTGATGTGAAAATAACAAAAGAATTGGAAATTTATATCTGAAACCATTTTTTGTCCCAGTTATCCCTTTTTTGTTGCGGAGTTTAAACAGAGGACCCTAGCTCTGTGCTTCTGATGTGAAAATAACAAAAGAATTGGAAATTTATATCTGAAACCATTTTTTGTCCCAGTTATCCTTTTTTTATTTTTAATTTTTCTAATAACATAAAAACTTCAAATTTTACTTATCTCTTGCCAATTTTAATTTCCTCATATAATTTAAAATGGTTCTTTTTGGATAAAACTAGATTTTAATGTTTATCAATATATGGTTAAATTAAATTTTAATTTTTCGAATAATTTTACTGAAATAATGAAATCCCATTATTTTAACGTGAATAAATAAATCATCATCAATAATTTATATTTTATAAAATTTTTTTTTTTTTTTCCATACAATGTTTTTTCTATTTTATTTTTATATAATAATTATTACTGATTTTAAAAAATATTATAAACTATTTTTTAAAAGAAACCGTTATTTTAAAATATTTTGTATAAAATTGTTACATTTTTTTTTCTCTTTTTACTTTTTATCTCCTGATTTTTTATAAATTAAAATCAATCAATTTATATATATTATTAATTTATAATGTAATATAATTATTTAAAAATAACAAAGAAAGACGTGAGTATGTTTTACATTATATAAAATAAAATTATATAAATAAAATAAGTTGATCATTAGGTAGTATCAATGAAATCTCAATTTTGAAATAAAATAAGTTCACAAACAACCTACTATTTTAAATGTTGTATAATTTTTGGACTTTTTGCTGGCTTAATCCATGAATCAGGGCTGCTACTTCCTCTGCATTTTCCATTTTTTTTCCGAACTGCACCCTGGTATGTTAAATATTCTCACTTACTCTTTATTAAAAACAATTAAAAAACATAAACTACAAAACCCAAATTTCACATTCCCTTCTTTCTTCTTGTGCAGTGAATCTATTAGTCTTCTACTTCCTCCCCTTACTTCATTTTCTTCTATTTACACAAAGTTTAGATTGAAAGCCAAAAAAAAAAAAAAAATTCAAAAATGAATGTTTTGGAAAACATTTTCAAATCTAGAAAATATAATCTGAAAGGGATTTTTGGAACATTTTTTATATTCCAAAGGTAATTTTCAACTTAGATTAGCCTTTTAGAACACCCATTACAAAATATTAAAAAAAAATGAAATAATCTTTCGGGAGACATTTTCTAGATATAGAAATTTTTTCTTAAACACTAATTTTGGAAATCATTTTTATATTTCGAATCCAAGAGTACTTTCCGAAACAATGATTCCATAATATAAAAGATGGTATTCGTGAATATTCCGAAAAATATTTTTAAATCCGAAATATTTTTCAAAACATCCAAGTGTCTTTTTTTCTTTTTCTAATAACCAAACAACTTCTTTCTCATGGTTATATTTACTAAATTTTCTTTCTCTTTCAATTTTTCACCTTCCATCCCATGTGGAGTGGAGAAGCTAATTTAAAACTAGAGTTTTTAATATTCTTTAATAAAGAATAAAATGGGAATATTATAACTTATAGTCATGAATCCTCAAATTTGAAATGTCATATTTTTAACATATAAATATATTTTAATGTCATAAATTTGTCATAACGTACGAAAGGACTAAATTTGTGTGGGTTTTTTTTTTTTTCTGTTAATCAACTAATTTATTCAATCTACTTATAACAAAAAAAAATTGTAAAACATATTTTAA